GCGTGAGGGGCGAAGCCAGGCAGGAGAGCACCACCTTGACGGGCCGTTCCCGTGTGCCACAGCTTTCCCAAGAGGAAGTTATTTTTCTGCCAGGAGAAACCCTCTCTCCTCAGATAAACACCAAAACCTACTGGAATGAGCTGATTGTTGTATGCGCTCTCCTGGGATTTTCCGTGGTGGTCTTCTCTCTGTTTGTGATCTACAGGAACCGTGACCACATGAAATCCATGCTGAAGGAAGGGGAGTGCCCCAATATGCAGCAGAAGAAGCCCCGAATAGTGGGCAAACCTGCTGAGAATTTACCACTAAACGGCAGCACCGTCACAACATCGGCGTCAGATCACAAAGGGTACCAAACCCTTAATGACAACTACCTTTGCAGCACTCCACCTCATGAGTGCTCCTCGCCCGACAACACCAAGAGCTTCTCAGAGTCAGAAAAGAGGCCTCTGAACTTAAAAGAGAGCCATGTAGAGATTTCTCCCTCATGCCCACGGCCTCGAGTCAGACTAGGCTCTGAGATTAAAGACTCTATAGTGTGAGACTGTCTGCAAAGGGCTAGAAAGAGTGCGCTTGGTGGTAAAGACTCAAATTTATAGGAGGAAGAGTGCAGCACTCCGACAGTGAAACATTCATTACAGATATTTTGCACTTTGTCTACTTTTGTTCTGTCCCTGTGGTTCAGTGTGCATTTCATTTTATTTTTCTCCTTCACATGGTGCATTCGGAGCAACTTCCAGTTTGCCTTCTGATGCTCTCTCACATAGCTCACATGAATATAACAAGCACAGAGGTGGCATCAAAACCACTGGTAAGGGATTGTGTTTCAGGGCATTTCAACTTTCTCCGTCCATAAAATGCACTGCTAATGCTTGGAAATGCAGAATGTTTCTCAAGGTTTATGTCACTGATTTTGAGACGGTTTCTAATGTTTCATTGTCGTTCTGCCATCTATAAGTGTTTGCGCTTCACTGAAGCTACACACTAATTAGTGCGTGTTACAAACATCAACTCATATACAAACAAGTCAAACAATGGAAAGACATGGTTTTTCAGTTGTGGAAAAAAGAAAATATAAAAAGCGCATTTAATATGACAAAGTGCCTTTTAAAAGTTTTCAAGTTCTTTGAATTTTTCTATATTTTGTGGCACTACAACCACAAAATGTGTGTTATTAAGATTTTTGCTCGATACATTACCACAATGTAGTGTATCATTGTGAAGTAGATGGTTTTATTTATTTTTTATTATGTTTTTTTTTTATGAAAAAAACAAACATGCAGTATTTCTCTGTCAGGTTCAAACATCCATACACTGAGATCTTTCAGTAGAATTTTTCAATCATTTAATCCCGATTGGATTAAGGTGTAGATTTTCACAAGGACATCATAATATATGAATAAGCTTTGATCAAAGTCATTCCATTCTACCTCTGGGTTGATGGGTTTATTGTTCTGCTAGGATGTGAACTTCAGTCTGGCGTTCCACATTATAGGATTGCTCTTTACCTTGATCTGTCTCATAAAGTCTGACCAGATTCCCTATTCCTTTTGAAGAAAGGCATCTATGATTGTGTCATGATTCTGACACATTTATTTTTCACTCTGGTAGTACTGATATTTTCAATACAATGAGTGTTACTTTTCTACCATTCGGCATTTTGCACAGGGTCCAAATAGCTCTTGGCTGTGCTGAACTTAAAACAAAACTTATTTTAATTTGGATTCAACAATTAATTCCTTCTTGTTTCTTTTCCATTAAGGAAGGATTTGTAAATCTGTCCTCTTAACAGAGTCTCCTGCTGGAGTTATGCTTTTCTGCATCTAATCCAAAATTATCATGTGCCTCTCATCTTTTTTTTTTTTTTTTTTTTTTTTTTTATTAATGATCTTCTTGTCCAGCCTCTGAGTTTAAGTGGACAATTATGTCTTGGTAAATTTACTGTTGTGACATACTATTTCCATTTTCAAATGACCTTTGGTCTGTAAGACATCCAAAGGTTGTGATTTTTGATTTATAATCTTTCTTAAGCTTCCATAGAATTTCATCTCTGACCTGTTTTCTGTGTTCCTTGGTCTTCACGATGCTATTTGATCTATAATGTTTTTACACTAAGATAAAATTACCCACAAGGGACCTCACATTACTAATCAGGTATTTCTGGAAAATAGCTGGTTGCACTCAACTTTATTTTAGGAGTATCAGATTAAAAAGGTTTAACAGAAGAGTACACAGCACTTTTCACATTTTTATTTGACAAAAAAACAAAACTTTTTTTCTTCCACTTGATTCTGTGGAAGGAATCCAGTGGTACCTTTTGTTGGTCTTTCACAGAAAGGTCCAGCAAAATCCGTTGACGTTTATGGTTGTAATGTGACAAGATATGAAAAAGTTCAAAGATTATGAAAACTTTTGCAAGGCACTTTAGAAAGCATTAAAATTTCACATAAATTCCACAAACTCGACTGCTACAAGGGAAGAAGAATAAGTATATACATAGATGAAGACTGATATGCTCTTAAGTATGTAAATATTCTTATGATGAATTTTGACTTTTATAAGTTTTTCTGTTTCTACATGAGACACAGAGAGAAATCTCATTCTGTTTTTCATCACTGTATTAGTCACAAGATCGGCAGTCTATGCAAAGCGAATAATGTGAAGTGAGGTTGATCAACATAGGATAACCTCACCTCGAGACTGGGTAAGCACAAGGTTTTGTTGCTGTGAATTACTTTAGAATCAGTGCCACTAAAAAAAAGAGCAAAGCTACTCTTTATACAATCTTCAAATATGCAGCATATTCTAGCCATTTGTGGAGCGCTCCAGAGCAGAAGGCAGTGAAAACCTTGACAGGCTGGCAAAATCGGACAGATTATGAGGGTCCAGGACTGTTATGTAAATCTGTGGCGGCTGATTTATTGCAGCATGATGAAACTGTATAAATATTTATCATCACGATGTGGCAAAATGTTTTGGTTGCACAGAAACATTTTTTATAACCCCTTCTTCACCGTTTCAAATATCTATCACTGTTGTCACAGGGAAGTAGGAATAAAAATAGAAATATTCTGACTTAAACGTCCCACATCTGTATAGCCTCAGTGTTAAATTGTTAGCCAATGAGTCTTAAAGATGAAAAGTATAAAAAAAACAACCTCTGCCTGCTTAAATAGTTTTGAGCGACCATAAGAGCAATAAGATCCATTCCCATCCAGAGGCAAATATATGAACCACTGCACTGAGTAATCATATTTATGCAGAAATAATGAATGACAAAGTACAATAACTGCTAAATTCATGGATAGTTCATCATTCATATGTTGTGTTTTAGTTTGACTTTAGCTTTGTGACAAAGTAAAGAACAGGCATATTACTGTGGGATTTGCACATGATGTTAAAAAGCCTTATTATGTTGCAGGTTGTGGATCTGAGTATAAATTTGCCTCGGCAAATGGGATTAAAATGCCTTCTGAAACAAAAATCAGGTGACGTGCCTCTTGAGATGATAAACTAACCAGGTCCGAGCTTTAGAGTTATATGAGACACTGCAAGGTGTCAGAAAAATGGCCATACGTGGAAATAATTGAAAACGGTAAAAAGATTCGTACTATCATGTAATAGTGGCACAACTGTCTCTGTGTCATTGAACATAGCTCATTAGGTGTTTTATTAAGTTTTTTTACTGATTGGATGGCTTCAGGCTCAGCCAGGGACTGATTTTTTTTCCTCAATCACAACTCCTAAACACATCTTCAAAAAAAAAAATATTCAAGTATTACATTTCCTATAAAAGTGTTTGCTTTTTTTCCTGAGACTGCCTAGCTGCAATCACTCATGCAGTGTAAAAGACTCATGCTTTGACTGTTAACATAAACAAATGGCAGCTTTTGGTGAAGTGACTGCCATGAACAACAATAAATGTGCTCTAGTCAAATGCATTGTGGCGATATTTTACTCAAAAAGATGTGCAGGTACATTGAATACAAGCTGAAACTAATAATGCCACTGTAAAAGTATTGTCGTCTGCTCTCTCTCCTAATGAACCACTGTAGTCAGGCCTTCTATTAGATAGCACACGTTGCGCAGACTCCTGTCAACATGCATTGTACAGCCAGTAAACAGGTTTTGTAAAGTTATTTTGTAAATTCAGCTGCCAATGTACAGGTATTGTGAATTGTATTTTTGTATCATATATCACTACTGTTTTGTTTTGTTTTTGTATTGTATATAAAAAGCACTTTATTTTAATTTTTCAAATAAAGATTAAAAAAGTATTTTTTTCCCCGCTTGCTTCAAAATCACTGTGAGTTATGATGAGGCAAAATGGAGTAAATACATTTGCCACTTCATACATTTGTTCAAGATTTGAAGCTAATTTATTTATCATGACTAATGTTATACATTTTTACATATTTACATATTTTTTACATAAACCATATTTTACAATGGAAACTGGGCTTTGCAAATTTAATTCATATTTCACAAGAGTGACAATTGTATAAAGGTTTATAACCAAAATAAAATAATTTCCACAGTTTTATCATTAGTAAAATATAATTATTGCAATTTAAATTAAACAAATACATCTTACCACATGTCCATTTTACTGTGAAGAGGAAACTAAAGTGAGCCATTCTATTAGATGATTTTTTTGTTAATAGATCCCAATAATTGTTTTCTTCTTGGCTTCTGTGTTGGGATGACGCATTGTTTCCAATAGAGAAGTGAAGAAGTGTCTGTGATAAAATCCTCCACATTACACACCAAAAGCAAACAGACGTAAGCACTTGCTTATCTCTCCTGGATCTGCAGCAGGTTACCTTCGTTTCTCTCACCATGCATAAGCCTAACCAACCTGGGTGGCACCGCCCACACCGACACCTGGACCAATCCGTGTTTTGGTAGGAGGACAGATGGTCTGTTTGTCTCAGACGCCGCTGAACCGCGTACATCCAGAGGGAGGTGGGTGACCCTGTCTAAAATTTCATACTCTCGAATTTGAGTGCGATTTTTTTTTTTATCAGAAACTATGAACCGACCCAGTCTTCGACGGTTGTTTTCCGCTTGCGATGTAAACAAGTCCGGGAGGATCGAGTATGAGGACTTCACAGTGGTCTGCAATGAGCTCAGCGTCCCGAACACTGAGGTCCAAACTCTGTTCGATAAGTTCGGAGCTTGTGAGGACGGCTACATCGACTACAGCCGCTTTTCCTCCAGGTTTCAGGAGGTTTCAGAGACTCTCAACTTGGCGTCATTTGGCGCTGGAGCAGCTCCGACTCCGTGGGAAGAGTTTGTGGACAGGCTGGATGAGGAGTTTGTCCTCTCTGGAAGGTAAAGTCAATAACCGGACCAGGGTCTCACTTTGAACAGGATTCACATACCTGTGATTGCAGCACTTCTTAGCTAAAATGTTTTGCACGATCATATTCTTTTACTACAACCACAAACTTTACTAACAGAGTCGTGCAATAGAAAAGTAAGACATGGCTTTAACATTTTACAAATCCAAAAAGTGTGGCGTCAACTTACGGGACAAAAACTTCTTAACAAGGTCAGATTCATTGCTGAGCATCTTTTGAAATCAAATTTACAGTGGGATTTAGGTTTGCTCTTTGACATGACTATTCTAATACTTTATAATGCTCTGTTCTAAACCATTCTAATTTAATGTTGTCTAAATATTTTGGCTTGAAGGTGAACTTCCAATCCAAACTTAAGTCTGGGTTGGAAGCTTGTTTCTATATATACATATTGCTCTTAATACTTAAAATAAATAAATAAATAAATTGTCTGAACATTTATATCTGCTGTTGCTTTTCCAGGCAGTGAAGACTGTTTGTTTATTTTCTATTCTAAATCATGTTTAGTCTCTTCTAAGATTTTCTTGTATTTATTCCCATCTGTTTTCCTTACCACTGTCCCTACTAACCAAAAACAACCCATCAGAATGATGGGTTATTGTTATCATCATGGTATTGTGTTATTTACTGTGCACTGCAAAACACAATCTTACCAAGAACGTTTGGTCCAGTTTCTAGTGAAAATATCTTGGTGCACTTGAAATAAAAGAAAACTAACTTACAAGTAACATTTCAACAAGATACATCAGCTTGGTTAAGTCAATAATTCCTTAATACTGATGAAAAAGTGAAACACTTTTGGGGTCTTGTGGACTCGGTGAAGGAATATACAAGTACAGGCCATTTACCATTTTAAAGTCCTCTAATTTTGTCATTTTTTATTTTGTAACTTGTCAAAACTTTTTTACCAAATAGCTTCTGTAGAAATGATGAGAAAAACCTTGCATGAAATGTTCCTGAAAATAATCTGAAATAAAATCTGTTTATCTTTTTAATTCATTTAACTTCAATTAAGCATTCAGGTAAAGCGTACTTGTTGCAATGAAACTGCATTGATTTGGGAACGATAAACTTAAAGTTTGAACAATCAATTAAATATGCCACAGATGGCCAGTGGATGTGTATTTTGAAAATGCGCTTAGTAACAATCATATGAAAACTTTAACTTATTTTTACAATCACACTTTTAAAAGAGGTTATTCATCTACATATCACTTGTTCCTCAGTATCTCATTTCTTTTGAATGTTTGGTTGCTGTTTCCTTCTCATTGCTGTTTGTAAGTTTTTGTTCTAATCCTTATAGTCTCAGGGAACAGCTGGCTGACCTTTACCAGGCCATTCACTCCTCTGCAAACACAACTCTTCTGCAGGCATATGAGGAAACCATCCACTCCCTTGTCAGTCTAAGCTTGGAAAACAAACTAGTGAGTGAACAGTTTGAGACCAGTTTGAAGAGGTAAGAAAAATAATGCAAGTTTTCCGTTTGTAGGGTCAGTGAAGCGAGCCGTTGTCCTTGTAATGCATTACAACTTTTAAATGGTGATTGCTTTATTTAATGTTTTTTTCTCAAAAATAAAAAGTCAAATTTACTGAAAATCTGCCAAAAAAGTTTTTTAATTTTTTTTTCTTATGGCTTCCTGATGTTAGCATGTTCAGTAGCAATTTCTCAGTCACTTTTACTATGCTAAGTTCTTTAAATGTTAACAAATAACTTTGTAAATGTTTTCCAAGATTAACTGAGACTATTGTAGACAGTCTTGTATTTCCTTCTTTGTAATTTCTTTCTTTTAACATTAGAATGTACACAGTTAACATAACTGAAATAATTTTCTTTGAAAAATTTACTTGTAGGTTAAACTTAGCTTTATATCTTGGTTAGGCAACATTAATGGCAACAACTTTCAGATACTAGAAGCACTCTGTTGTGTAGTACAAATAATAATAATGTATTAACTATTAGGTTAACTAATTAACCTAATAGTAATAGGACATGTTTTTGTTGTCACAATTGCAAAGTTGGTTGGGTAAAATTAGATTTGTTAGATCTGATGTATGTAATGCACACATTCTCCATTTAACAGTGTTTCTCTTTGTGCAGTAGGATAGGAGAGGGATTTCTTTTAGTTAAAATAGTAATTAATTTAGTAATTAAAATTGAAATGAACATTTAAATAACTGCACAGTCCTAAGCTTCAGGTGCCCAGCACAGCAAAGTCTGCAGTGTTAAATCCACACTTAATCAAATTTATTTGTCTGACACATTTCAGTAGCATGTCAGTTCACAGTTCTTTACATAGTGAAAAACTAAAATGCCTCATAAACAGATATAGTCAACAGTTGTGAAAACAAATGTTACATTTTGTCTAATGCCATTGTTAAAACAATCAACACACATCAAACATGTTATTTGGTACATAATAAAGTATAAGTATTATGGTTCAAAAGCAACTCTAAACAGGTGAGTTTTAATCTTGATTTAAATTAACTTAACATTTCCAGTTGTCTGAAAACTGTTTGAGATTTGAGGTGCATAGAAGCTGTATATTGCTTGCACTTGCATGTATGTGGTTATCAGAAATTGTTTTCAACTTTTTCAACAGCACTTTCTACTGTCTGTCGTTTGAAAGGGTCAAACTTTCACACTGCATGTTTAGCACAGCAAAATGTACTGAAAGTGAGGCAAGAGTTACAGATGTAATCCTGCATGGCAGGTTGTGTCTCTATCTGCAAAGAGAAGATCTGGGTCGGCCTGAGTCCTTCTTGTCTTGTGATTGCTCTCAGCAATCACACTCATCAGATACTAGCTTTTCAGTTCAGTTTGTGTCTTCTACCAAAAATGTAGCTATGTATATACATACAGAAGATGGGTATAGTGATTTTTCTGTCCCTGTCTGAGCTCTATCTCAGATTGAATTAGTGCACAGCATGAGTTAGGTGACATTCCTTCCCTCAAGGAAGCAGGAAGCTTTAAATACACTGGCCTGCCCAGTTATTTAGCCTTATAAGAAGTCAAGCATGTTTCTCTATTGTGTTTTAAACATGTCTGGGAAGCCATTAGCAAAGTCTTTTCTTATTTGTGTGCTGAGAATGTGTGTGGGGAAAGAGATCGGCACATTTTTACAAAACTCTGTCCTTCCCTTGTCTCTGGTCGGTTTGTTGTGAGGTTTTGCTCTGAGTAGAGTCATCAAATGTGAAGTTTTGACTGAGTGGACCTGACCTTTGGTTAAGCCTGCAGTTCCAACACGTCTTCTCCACTTTTGTTAAAACAGAGCCGAAGAGTTAAATACCAGTCGGCTGGCAGAGCTGGAGGACGATATTCAGCAACAGTTAGCCAGAGCAGAGGAGCGGGCCAGAGACAAAGTGAGTGCTGTATGTACAATTTGTTTTCCTTTGATACGCCTTTATATGGAGAAAATTAAACAAAACATTACTCATCACTGTTTTGGCAAGAGGAGCCGTTAAATAAATATAAACATAATGAATTAATGTTGCAGTTAGAGTGCAGTTTAATTCCAGCTGAAACAAAAAGCTTGTTTTTACCAGAACCACCTACATAGCTGTGGTGAACTCAACAAGTTAAGCGTCTTTCTCACAAAGAGGGTCTGTAATGTCAGATGAAAGCCCCACTTCAAGCTCTTCGCTGGCCTTCACCTCTGACTGCTTTGGTTTCATGTTTGCAGGAGCGAAAGAAAATGGAAGGAATCATAGCAACCATGCAGAGGAAACACAACGATGAGATTGCAGATCTGCAGGCCACAGCTGATCAACTGTTAATGGTAGACCTGTCACAGAAAACACATACATACAGTCTTATGCATTCAAAGTTTACTTTCAGCCTGTCACACACATCTGAAACACATGCACATTATTTTCTAAAAACTGTAAAAGATATGCTCCAGGTTTATTTGAAAGATACTTTAAATATTGTATTGGGACTTTAAGTGGAAGTAGAATAATCTGAAATGGCCAAATTAGTATACTCAAATAAATTTGCCTTGTATTTTATATCTATCTCTCGATGTATATTTATGAGTATCTAATCATATATATGTATAGATACCTACATACTTACACAAACTGTACACAAATTGTCCCAGATCAGAACGGACTAAAGGACTTACTTTGCTAGGTACAGCATGAAAACTTGAAGAAGTGCCTGTTCATTGTAACCAGTCTGAAAGAAATGCACAACTATTGATGATATTACTCATATATATTTTTTTTTAACTTTATTGGAACTAACATAAGCCTTTTCTGAAAGTACTCAGGGAATAATAAAACACAAAGTGCATATGTTTCAACACAGCAGCTGTCTGCTTGTGGAAGTACTTGCTACTTTTGTCCTGTAGATGGCCACAGTTGATAGTAAACACAAATGATGAAACCAGTTCTTCCTTGTAAGTAGGATCACAGAGATGAGTAGAATATGTGGGCTCCTTAATTACAAGAGATTTATTTTAAACCTAAGCCAAACATGTGTTTGAGGACATCTGTAAACAGTGATCCCACACTTCATTGTTACTTCAATATGTTGCACTTTCCAGTAATAGCGCCTAGTATATAAAATAAAATTTTTCCTCTTTCTCCTGTTATAGTATTTGACAATAAGTGATTTGTTAAAAAAAAAACTGTCAGCAAAGTACAGAACTGAAATGTGTTTGAGCTGTCTAACAAAATGTTTGTATGGCTTTAATTTGGAGAACCAGGAGAGCTCTGAACTAAACCACGCAAAAGATGAGGTGATCAAACTGAACAAACAGATCGGTGATCTCTTACAGGTAAAGACCTCTGGATTCCAAGTCAAATGTATTGCATGCACTTTGGGTTAAATTGCTTAAAGTGCATCTTTGTGCAGGAAAATGAGCAGTTGCGAAGTTCTCTGGTGCAAAACCAGTCAAACATGGCTGTACTCCACTCTGAACTGGACAAGCTGAAGAACATGTTTGGAGAGCAGAAAGCCCAGCATGAAAGGTAAAGTTTTTTTATTTGTTTTTTCTAGTTCAGCTCATAAATTTTGTTCCATTGTTTTATGAAATGAAAGTGTGTGATTTTGTTGTTGTTGTACACAGAGAAACAGAAGTATTAAAAAAGATGATGACAGAACATCAGTCGTACTCTGATCACATTCAGATCCTCCAGTGAGTCCATCTTGATCCTATTTCTTGTTTTGGATGGCCTAATGAAGAATGTCAAAATTTGGATGATTGTTATTGTATTATTATTGTATAGAATAAATAAACTTTAGATATCAACATGGCATCAAAACTAAAGGTCAACAATAGATAGTACAGTGAGGGAAATGGAGAGTGTGGATCTTAAAGTCTGTGAAAAAGTCATGATAAGCAGAAGATCAGAGAGATGTGGACTTGCAAAGTGATGACAAGACCTGAAACTGAGAGGAAAAAATGTAAAATCAATGCTGTAATTCACAGAAAGCTCATGTTGTTGTTTGTGGACAGCCTTAATATGCTTATTGGAAAACAGTGAACCAGGCCACTGCATTCTGTATCAATTGGAGTCTATGGAGATTTTTGTGATAAACCACACAAGTCACTTAAGCTCTCGTTGAGTCAAGGCAAATATTGCCAAATGCTTTTGGCAATATAGTGCTGGCTGTTATTTGTATAATATTGAAAATGTACGTCTGAGACGGAGTCATTCTAATCTAACGTCTGTTTATACACAATGAGCATCTTTGCGCTGTACAAGATTGGTTTCTGCTCTTTTTATTGGTCTGTTAAGACCAATAAAATATGTGGCTGTATGTGTGCCCTTACAGCTACCAGCAGAAAAGCTCAGTTGTTTGCACAGCAAGTAGTTTATTTGACAGGTTCTGTTGTTGGTTTGTGTGCTACATTAGTGCTTCTTGTGATTCTTCTGAAAAAAAGAAAAAAAACAAACAATGATTTTGTAGTTGTTGGAATTGAATTCTATCTGCTATGAAAAATTTGAATGCCTCTGTAATCTTTGGTGAGCTCCTGTAATGAAGCTTGTATTGGAGAAAATATTTATCATAAATCCCTTTAGCTATGTTATAATTCAGCAAAGTGTTTTGTTGCTGAAATAAACTTGATTGTTTTTCTTTATTTTATTTTATTTGTTTTTGCTTTAAACACAATTATTTAAAAAAGGAACAAACTGGACTTGTTTTGTAATGTGCTGCTAATAATTCTAAATTATAATCATATCCAAAAGAGGAAAGAAATGACAACCAAACGCCAAAACAACAACTTTGAAAAATATAAAAGCTAAAGAGAAATTACAAAATGAGAAACAACTTAATGTTTTCCTCAAGGAACTGTATGAATATTAATCATAATGCTCTTGTATTTTCTTGAACACATCATCAGGGAAATGAACAAGAAGCTTTATGACAGTAATGATGGACTGCGCTCAGCTTTAGCCACTCAAATGGTTGCAGCTAAAAGGAGGGTGAGTTCCTTGTTTGCTCAGCTATGTTTTCTCATACCTGCTGGCATTGTCAGAAAGAACCACAATGTTCTACCAAGCACACAAGTAAAACAAAATGTTTCTAATTCACGAAACAGTTGTCTCCTCAAGACGAAATCCCGGCCAGGAGAATGAAACCTATTCGACAGAGCACACTCAATTATGGCAGGTAGATGGAGTCCTTGTGCTCACCTGCATGACCAGATGGATTGATCACAGGAAAGATCAATTGTCACCACAATAATCTGATGTATTTGTGTGTGTGTGTGTGTGTGTGTGTGTGTGTGTGTGTGTGTGTGTGTGTGTGTGTGTGGAGATCCGAGCAGAATCCCAGCATCTTCCATGTGTCCACCTGGGCTGACCAGTACCTGGACAGCGGCTTGCCAATGGACACGGTTGAGAGCTCAGCCAGTGACTATGACACTGACGACAGCATGAGTTCTGTGGAAACCGTGCACCACAGTTACTCGTCCGTCCCGTCAGACGTTGAGGTCAAGGCAGGATCAATTAAAAACGGCAGCAGTTTTTATTCACTCCAAACCTTTTAAAATTATATTTATTTTGGTTGTTGTAGATATCAGAGGTTAGGTCTGAGGCTGCAGTCTCTGTAGCTCCCAGCCAAACCAGCTCCACCGCTTCATCCCTACGAAAACGCTTATCTGCTTTTCCCATCAAGGTAAAAAAAGCTTGGATTCATGATACCTAACAAACGGGCAACAACATAGACATGGACAAATTTGTTGGAATTCAAATTAATTAAATAAATTCAGATTTTTTCTTTAGTTCAGGAGTTAGCTCATACCTCTTTCTATTTTGCTACATGTTGTAATAAAACAGACATGGGCCAGTGGCTAAAAGAAAAAGGCCTTACTTACTAGTTGTGGATTACTAATTAGGAATTCATAGAATCTTTGATCCAGCTATAGAACTAATGAATTATTGGCTCAATTATGCCAGTAGAGAATAAAGTGTAACTGACAAAATAAACTCCCCAATTTTATTTCATGTGGACAATTATTTACTTGGAGTATTCAGTAATTGTTTTTTAACAATATTTAATTCTGAATAAAATGGCTCTCGATAGTGAAGAAGGTTAAACATTCATGTTGTATTCTTATTCAGCATGAATAATACTTTGTATGACATCTTGTCACTGCGGGACAAGATGCCAACTTCAGATTTGTGCAAAACATAACTGCACCTCTCACTTTATATTATTGTGATCTCAAATTCATAATTCTCTTTTTGACTTTCTTTGCAGGATTTAGAGGACAACATGACAGTGACAGAAGGACCTTTGCCAGTGTACCGTGTTGTTTTAGCAGGAGATGCAGGAGCTGGAAAGTCCAGTTTTCTGTTGCGGTTGACACTCAATGAATTTAGAGCAGACATTCAGACAACGTTGGGTAGGTAACAGTAAATATTTTGCCTTCACATACACAAGTGTCTTTTACTTACAAATACACTGGAAAGACCCTGAACAAGGAGTCTACGCTGCATTATTTTATCCAGAGAGCTTCTACCTGCTTCACTTTTTACCATCTGATCTGGTTTTAAGAAATTTGTTAAAAAATTCATCTCACAGTTGTGGATTTCTGTCTACAGATATTTTAACATGATACATTTCTGCATCCAGGTATCGATTTCCAGATGAAGAAGATGCAGGTGGACGGAGAGACAATGAGTCTGCAGATTTGGGACACAGCCGGTCAGGAAAGGTAAATCGCTCCCCAGGAAAAAGTTTTATCAAGACGGTAGCGACATGGACAAATGGATTGCATCACTGCAAATGCGTAAACATTGACTCAGTGAAAGATGCACTTTACTTAAAAAGAGCTGTGCTTCCTTGTGCTTTAGGTTCCGTAGCATCGCCAAGACCTTTTTCCGTAAAGCTCATGGAGTCCTGCTGCTTTATGATGTTACCTCAGAAAAGAGCTTTCTGAACGTCAGAGAGTGGATAGATCAAATTCAGGTATCAGCAACTCTGATGAGACAATAAATTTCACAGATGGCTGTAGTGCATATTGTATATCTCCTTCTGTTTTTTTTTTATTTTTTTTTATTTTAAGGAGTCTGCAGATGAAAAAATTCCCTTTTGTGTTGTGGGAAACAAGGTGGACCTCCGGGAGCAACTTCCTGAAGGAAGCTGCGTTTGCAGCTCACATGGAGAAAAGCTGGCCAAGGTGTTACTTTCACCACATGGATGACTGTTTTATAAAGATGTTCAGCCCTCAAGGTGTCAGAGTAAACAGTCTGCAGTCAAGAATGTTAACACTTTGCTTTGTCTTTCCTTTGCAGGCATACGGCGCCATGTTCTGTGAAACGAGTGCCAAAGAAGGAACTAACATTGTTGAAGCTGTGCTTCATCTGGCACGGTAGGAAAGTTGGGATTTGTGTTTTACTTTTCAAGCTATACATGGCACATTTCTACTAATTATGTCATCAAAATGTTGATTATCTTTTTTGCATGAGGTAAAGTGTTTCAAACATTACATTTTTTAAAGGATTTTTTTCCTGAGCTCATTAAAAAAGTATAATGTTCTTATAACTAATAAGAACATCGAATGACTTAGGAACAAAGATATTTAACAGAAATATTGAAAAGCAAAACCCACATTCTGCACAGTATATGCATTCAAGAATTAGTACATATACTAATATGCCCAGCTGAGTTACTGTGTCAGTGACGCAGAGCTAATCAGCCTGTGCTGAGGCCTAAAGAAAGTCAAGGTTGTTTAAATAAATGCCTTCACCTTCCTCCAGAGCAGTGTTTTTCAATATGTTCCGCATATTTTAGATGCGTTCCTTTTGCAGAATACATGATTCATGCGATTGCATGATAAAGGCACAATAAATGCCCACCAATACCATCAAGTTTTACAGAAGCCTGTTCGTCGCTCGTTTATTCAAATCAGGTGTGTGCCAGAAGGGAAACGCCTAAAACATGTAGGACAAACCTGAGGACCGGAAATGAGAAACACTGCTCTAGAGAATACTTCATACATTCTCTATGGGGCTCAGGTCAGCCAGGTTCAGGAGTGAGCCTTCAAAAATGTATAACTTTTTGTTGATGTGGCAAAAATGCCTATTCTAAAAGTATATTGAGATCCATCTGTGTCTTTCTTTCTTATGTTCCTGCAGAGAAATAAAGAAAAATGGCAAATTGAAGTGGGAGTCAGAATCTCAGATCATATTGAATGAAGCTCTCTCGAAGAAAGTTGTTAAAGGTTGCTGTAAACTGTAAACATGAGGACAGAACAATGAAGATTATCATGCTGCTTGTATCTCAAAAAAGGAACAACATGAAGCTTGTTTACATTTGTTTTTACTTTATTCTATTTCACCTCTTAACTGTAAACATAGTTTCGTGAAGGGTTATTCTTTGGTCAGAATGAAGGTTTTTATAGTAAACTGCACATGTATAAATACAAAATCACATCATGTATTTTGTCAGAAATATTTAAGCTTTTATATTTATTTGGATAAGTATTACCTGAATTAGGATTTAGCCTAAACATATTTAATAATTTTAAGAGTTTGTCAAATGTTTTTGTTTAAATTTCCCTTTGGAATCAGGATTGTAATGAAATTGAAGATGCATTTGTTCAGAGGATTACATTTACCAACATCTTCTTCAATATTTTATGGTAGAATATATTTTAACATTTGGACTCTGTGGAGCGTTGATCAAATGTAATTTTGAGCTATTTTACTTTATATGTACTTTTTTTAAAGCATCTTTGTAAGCAAAAATAAAGGCAATCCCTTTCCCAAATAAAACTGACTGCAAATAACTTTTATAAATTTATCAGCTGACTCTCTTCTAAAATCCACATTTCAGTAAAAACATTCAAAGCTTAAGTTCAGTTTTCTTCCTGGCGGTGCTGCTCATACAGGGGAACCTGCTGGAAGACAACTGTTCCAGTGAATTACATATTTTTCCTTCCTGCTCAGGATTTTTAGTTTCTTGCAGTCATAATCACAGACGTCACCAAACTGCCCAATGCCACCACCAGAGCTCCCAGGATGAACTTCCAGGAAAGTCCCTGAAAACAGAAGAGGGGAGAGTATGAGTGTGATATATCCTAATATCAAATGAAATGATTGAGTTGATTACAATTAAAGCCAGATATTTACATACACAATATAAAAAGATGCCAATCTGTTTGTTTTTTATTGACATTAAATCCATTTTTTATCTGTTATGATTACTGAAATTTCTATTTGCCAAATGCCAGAATGAGTGAGAATATATATATATATATATTTTTTTTTTTTTTAATTTGAAGTTTTTATATATTTATCTAGTATTTTACTTAACTGTTTTTGTACCAATGTTTTGGGTATCCTTTGAAAATCCTTACACAGTAGTCTTGTGGACTTTTGGCCCATTAGTTTTATCAGAATTTGTGTAACTGAATCAGGTTTATTCCCCACAGAAGGAGCAGAGAGCAGGGCCTTCTGACAGCCTCTGCAAAGCTTCGACTTTAACTAATTTAGCTTTACAATTTCTTCTGGGGTTGATCCACATTTGAACATGATCAGTGGAGCTTCCAATGGTGTTTATTCTTACTTTTTAAAAAAAATGATTATTGGAGCCATGGTGTTCTCAGGGCACACAAACTTATACATTTGAAATAAGTAATACAAAAAACTTATTTTTTTATGTCATTTAGCAAATGCAAAGAAATATTAGCAATCCTAACTAACCTAGAACATACGTTTATTTCTATTTCCACTAACTTCTTATTGCCTGTGTGAGAGGCATCAACAGTCTGTCATAGGGTGTCTTTAACTTGTGCGGTTTCTATTCTATTTAATGGCTTACTGAAGACTTTTTCTTAGAAGGAATGAGGAATGGGGTGATGTCATCTCCGAGCACCTTTGCTGGTTTGACTCTCCACTGTTGCATATCTTTGCCTCCTGATTGTCGTTTCACAAGTTTGGACAATTCTGCATGGATTGCCTAAATGTATAGGAGAAAATGTCTTTAAGAAAACTTTTAAATTATTCAGTGCATGAGTGATGTGCTCACAGCACTTCACTTTTTCCACATTTTATGTTACAACTTTATATGAGAATGTAATAAATGACTGGACCTGTGTTTATTAAACTGGAGCAAAATGTGAAATTCAAATAACCAAAAGCTTGGTTATTCTTACTTTTTATTCTTAACTAATATTAGTTTTTGAGAATATTAAGAGTTTTTAAGGACTTGTTGAACATAAGGAACAAGTAAAATATTTTCATTTTGCTTGCTTGCCATTTGTTTTTAATAGCAAACATGTTTGCTTTTAATTATATATATACCCTCCTTTAAAGCATATATTAGTGTGCTTTTAATATATATTATTTGGTAATTTGAATTTCACATTTGCTCCAGTCCAAAATCTAGAATCTAGTTTCCTCAAAGAATTACTTCACTCTTCTGCTTAAAGCTTTAAGTATCAAAGCAGCAGATATTTCTAACCCGTCTGGGCAAGTCCAGATATATTGGTGAAGGTAGCAGCTTGCCCTCTGTGTCGGGTCACTTTATTTCTGGCAGTGGGATTTTGTAAACAGATTATGGGAAGTACTCCTTACACACAGCCATTTCAAACTGGATTTTCAGACTATACAGAAAATAATTTGTGAAAAGCAATCTTTATCACTCTGTAAAAAGTATGTTCTACTGCTGAAATTAATGACACTAACCTTAGATTATCATGGAACCCCGGGCTTCATAATGATAGTAACTGACATGTCAGTAGAACAGATGAAATGGTTTTATTTGCCTGAGCCTCTGGAGAATCAAACAAATCACTGGGAGAAAATGTAACAAGCCTTATAAAGAATGGGGTTAGGATATTTTCAAGCTAATGTCCATCTAAACACAGAAAACTGCTGGACAACAACCCTAAATATCAGTGAGAGCTGCAATAGATAGATCAAAGCACATTCATCTGTTAAAATGGTCCAGTCAAAGTCCAGGGGATAATCTAAAGCTTTTCAACAAACCATGTTTCAAATGAGATTGATCAAAGATTTCAGGTTCCAGTTGTGTGCGGCTGATGAAATCATCCATGTAATTTACAGCTGGAACTGCATCACAAGGAGGATATACAAATAGTAAACTCAATTTTATTTGTCAAAAAAATGATTTTTTTTTTTTCCACAACACAATCGCTAATTTGTGTTGGACTATCCCATAAAATCCTAATGCAACAAAATCTGAAAATGAAATAAAAGTTGTCTGAAAAGTTGTGCAAGGCACTCCAGTGGACTAATAATATGTTTAAATTTCCGTTGACTGGAAACCAATGCCTCTTATCAAGCATTGTATGTGTGGACAGCGTATTGGCAGGTTAGGAAGGAACACAAAAAGAGGAAGGATCATCTCAGCCACATGATCTCACCTTGGTGGTTGGCTCCAGTTTCAAGGCCTGTTTTAGCACCTCCATGGCCTCTTTGTATTCGCCCTTATCTGACAGCAGCTGAAAGAGATTAGAAGACCAGCAGCGTGAACACTTGTAGAATACCCACAAATTAAAGTAACTGTGTGTCACTATCATTTTCCCTCAAAATAATATAAACACAAGATGAAACAGATTTCTCCTCCTTCAAAGAGCGCCATGTGTGGTCATTATTAGAGATTGGGTGAGATGTTTTATTACGTCTCTCAGTGATAACGTGACCCTCACCTTTCCGGTCCTGAAAAGCGCCTTGACGTTGTTGGGCTGGAGGGTCAGGACGTCCCGGCTGGTGTGCAGTGCCTCGTCAAACTGCTCCAGTCTGAGCTGAGCGGTGGCCATGTTGTTCAGACACTTCACCCGATATTCCCGCACCTCTTCCTCCTCCTCCTTCATGCCAACATCATTACCATCTGCACAGACACAGGCATGTAGCTCACTGCATGCCCCCATGCACTTGATACTGGATTGATTAAACTTTATTATAAACCAAAAAAGAAAAAAAAAATTAATGGGGGAGAAAAAAGTAGTTGCATAAATCATATAGGGAGGGATGATTCTTTTTCTTTTAATCCTTATTTTAAAAAAGCAAATTTTAAGAAAAAATTCCCAGTGGTTCATGCTCTGCTTTTTAATTCAGCTGTTTATATTATTCCTTCCCCTGCGTGGTCTCTGTACCAGACCCAAAAGTCCAACTGAAAGAGGAATTGACCAAAACAACGAGGACTTGTTCACACATATGACATTTTACTCTGGACTCTTGACTTGTTGAATCACAAATTCAAACAGTTTCTGTGTATCACGTTTAACCTTATTGCTGATTTTAGCCATTTGTCTTTAATGTGTTGATTTTTTTGTTTTTTTCTGGAATATCTAGTTTTGACTTTATGCTGATAGGAGTAAAACAGTTGATACTACTTCCACCAGTTGTTTGTGTCCTGACACTAAAATAAAGGTGATTTAGATTTTCTTTCATGAAAATGTTTGTCCCTCAAGGTGGAAAAGAAAGATAAAGACAAATCTGGTACTTTTTTCACTTAGTAAATAATAGCTAGATTTTTAAAAAAAAACTGTTCTATGGGTCATTTTAGCAGAGCGTTTCTAATGTTACCTGTTTCTTCCTGTGAATACTTTAATCCTTGTATGAATACTTCTGTTCTGGTTGGTTTTAGCTTTTGAACACTTAAAGTTGGATTCAAATAATTTAAAATTCTGATAGACCTGTAAATATGAGAACATTTGCATTTCTCCAGTTTAGTTCTTCATCTCCTCTTTGACTGATTACAATATCTGTATGATCTGAGGAAACTCCTTTCTTCGGTGTTGCATCGGATTCACTCAGCATTCAGCTCTTATTGATTCATTATGAGGCAGCTCATGTTTTTACTTCATCGTCTTGTTCAGCTGCATTTACCCCTCAGGCTTTCTTTGCCTCTTCGATAATTAGCGTGATTAAGGAGGTTGAAATGGTGGGAAAGTTGATTGGCTTTGATCATGCAAAAAAATTAAGTGAAAGCATTTACGGCGGTGCTCAGCACAGATGGACGCAGCCATGCATAGAGAAGCTGCAATTAGTGTGATTGGTGGAGCACTCCTGTCAGATGACATTCTATACCTGCATTGTTTGTTCGCATGCCCTTGTTATAGCCAGCAGTATAGAAATACCCCATGATTAAATCAGTGCTACCTTGGCTGTGTGTGGTCAGCACCTCCAGAGCTACATAATAAGCTCTGGCAGCCAGGCTGTACTCCTCTCTCTGGAAGTGAAAGTTTCCTCTCTCTCTCTTCTGGTTGCCAATGCGGATGCGGTCAGCGATGGGTAGAGTTTCCGGGTCCGGTTTGTCTCTGATGTCCAGCAGCTGAAGTTGGTAGAGTAGTGGAGCCCATGCAGGAATATCAGGCTCTCTGCACAGAAATAAACAAGCAAAGTTAATACCAGGGCACATTTTCCTTTAATAAAGTTCCCTACATTTCTCAAATTCTCTTTTCTGTTTTTGTTCAGATATTTTCTGTAAATACAAAAAATATTTACATATATTTACATTTATTTCATTCACATATTCTTTGATTCCATTTAGAGTTTGACAGGGAAAAAAAGATTGACTTCCATGTCACTAATAAAATAGATACTGTCTCATCCTGTCTCATTCTATGTGTTGCCATTGGGAGTAACTTGGAGTTTACTTGATTGTCAACTCAACCCTGTGTAAACACTTCAAAAGAGTAATACTGTGTAGAAATATTAGACATAATGATTTATAAATTAAAATATCAAAAGTGATGTTCATATTTTGGTGCAAATATGGCAGAAAGTATTAAGAAAGTCTTGGCTTTGTACTTCTATAGAGTGAAATTTTTGCCCATGGTTCTTTGCAAGATAGCTTTAGCTCAGCCAGATTAGATGGAATGCTTCTGTGGAAATGTTTTGCCACAGATTTTAACTTTTCACCTTGATTTAGGTAAGTACTTTGACTGGAACATTATAATTAATGAAAATTATTGAATTTTAACAATTGTACTGTCGCTCTGGTTGGGATCCTAAACAACTCTCCACCGGTCTTAAGTCATTTTTGGTATCTTAACACATTTTTTTTTTTTTTTTTTTTACCAGGATCCTTCTGTATTTCTTTCATCCATCTTCCAAACTACTTTGACCAGCTTCTCTGCCCCTAACAGCATAATGTTTCCACCACCATGTTCCTCAGAATAGATATGAAGGTGATATGCGATATCACATGCTTTTTTATTGTTGACTATTGCCTTTTTATTAATATTGATGTTACACAACTAGGTTGTTTAATGTGACATTATAAAGCTTGGCTATGAGTTCAGACTAAACCAACAAACAAACATCATCATGGTGCTGAAGGAGCATTAGTGTTAAGATGAATCTGTACAGAATACCTCTGTACAGATTCAGTTGAATTGAATCCAGCCGCCTACACACTTCAACAATAAGACCATCAAAGATGTCTCATTTAAGTGGGCAAGTATTTGAAACTCGTATGAACCCGGTGGCTTCAGCGAACTCAAGAGCCACTCTGAAAGAAAGTTAATTTGGTTTTTAATTATGTGTCTCCTGTGCACTCATCGTTCACAATGGTGCAGAATCAGTTCCACTGTGGAGGTTCTGATTCTAGATGTGAGACAGAGGGAGGTAATAAGACAGAAAGATCATGGGTTGGCAGTAGAATTCAGTAACTCATATTACAAAAATACAATTAAAAGGTCACTTTTAACAACTAAATGTTAAAAAAAAGATCCCCTGGGCTCAGTTAAAACAGAAAACTTCTAACACTAAGTCACAATGAAGTTTAACTTTCTGCTTGACTTGACACTTGCATTTCCATGATAATGATTACTCTGAGAGTCATGTCAAGTCATGAATTATTCAAACTGGTTGTGCCACTGACACAGTTAATGTTACTCCAACACAACTGGTTGTGTACACAGACAGTATGCTGCTGTGTCAGCTGTTGGGATCAGGTTACCCTTTCACCTGTTCCCCTCTGGAGGTCTTGCCCTGTATCACACACAGAACACACAGGGGTGTGAAGTTAGCAGCCGAGCTCAGGCTTCAGGAATCCGAGCACAATCGCCACTGTCACCACTATTTTGATGGTGTCAAAGTATTATGAAACGACTGTCGACCAACTTATGAACGCAGTGTAACTGCCTCCACTTTGAGCCACTCTTATCAGAAAACACTGGATAACATTCAAGGCTATATCTTATGTAACATTGTGCAGCAAATAAACAATAATACTTGCAGTGTAGTTCATGCTGTGGAAATTTGATGAATGGTTTTAGATCAAATTTGCTTCTCTGGTCACCAACAAAAGTGATTATTTTTCTGGAAGAGAATGAAATCAAAATCACTGAACTAAACTGAATTGCTGCAATTTATTTGATCTTGTTCCAGTTAGAACTTTGGCGTAAATAAAATAAATGAAACCTTCCCTTCCTCAAAGTACCCCTTGTGATTCATACTATTCTATCCCTCTTCATGATGCGTTTTGTTCTTTTACGTTTCTAGTAAACATTTGCATGCCAGTACCCTAAGTATTGGCTCTGAACCAGTTTTATATATTTTAAGCCGAGCAGAAAACCAACAATGCAAAAACAAACAAACAAAAAATTACATTTTGGCTATCTCATTTTCAACAAAAGCTAATTTTACATGAGGCCTGCCTCCTTTAGTCGTCATGTCAGCAGCTTGATTGGCTTTCATTAACTCGTTTCTTTCTCTTTTGCTGCTTGGGGTGTTTTTAGCACCAGATTGTTGTACATTTCTGTGAAAGTGTGAAAACACCAGCCAGCTACTGAGTATGTGAAACTAAAACAACATATATTTGTTCAAATTACTATGTTTCTTTCTATGTATGGATATCTGCGCCAGGCACAAACTCTCATGTCAGCTTTGGGGCATGTGCATTATGTGTACAGACTGTAATGGATTTTATTTCTGGTCCAATGCTGGCAGATTAGTGCAGCCAAAAAGCTAGTGCATCATGTGTTTTAGTTGAGTTTTACATTGCAGCTGCACAGCAAACACCCTTATGTGCACCTAATAGAACAAATAGTGAACTGTTCTCTCCCATTAGGATAAGAGGTGTCTATAATTTACAGAAATTGCATGTGACAAGCTGCAACTCCAGTCTTAATTATTCACAAATGCCCTGTGTGTGTTTATAGCCATTCACAAGCCTTCAGGCAATATCTCTGTTGTGCACATGCAACAAAGCACACACAAAGCTGACAGTCTGGCATTGTCTATTACTCCTTCCCACAAGTTTGAGAATATGCGTTGGTTTAAGAACTAAGATATTGTTGATGTAAAACAATCTGTGAACGACTTTATTGGTGAACTTTGTTGTATTTCTCTAATCTGCTGCCATGTTGTGCAATTTGCAGCAGGCTGATACTCTCAGATAGTCTGGAAAGGGGGCAAAGCTTGAATACTCTGTTTGCATTTGGCAAATATACCTTTAATAGGATAACTGTATTCAGTTATAGCTCTTACTTGATAACTTTGAGCTTGCGATTTTCTGCTTATGGCTCAAAAGCTTGAATTATTAAAGGGTCCAAAATAAAAACATAATTAAATCTAACTCGTGCTAAAAGGTTAGACCATTTATTCAAGGTTTCTGTCAGTCTTCTCTTGGGGCATCTTTGACTTTTCATACCATGGAGGACTTTGGGATATTGAGCATCTCAGTTGGTCTTGTGCCTACTCTGTGAATATATTCACTGCCTACTACTTGATGGCTAGATTGCAGTTTTTTTTCTCTATTTTCTTCCATATAAGATCATAGATGACCATAGTGAATTCATACAATTCAATTGGAAGCCGGAAGCTTAGAAAAAGCTGTTCAATTGCTTCCACTAAGTAAAGATACATAAAACACTTGATTGTGCTTAAAGGAGATTTCAGGAATGCAATTATCACAAAGAGGTCAGGCTTTCCCAGCAACACAGAGTGACCAATTTCTAACTAATGTTTGTAAAAGCAATTGCCAAACCAAAGTGTTGGATTATGTACAACTTCGGCCAATTGAAGTAATGTGAACACCTATATTTAATAATATTTAGGAGTGATCCAATATTTTTAATATGGACTCACTGTTCAATTGCTTATTAATCTAAAATTACCTTTGTTAATTATGCAGCAGCAACTCAAGGTATTTAAGCATCTAAATATGGTAAAGAAGTGGAGAATGAATAGGCAGAGTGGTGTAATATGGCAGACAACAAAAGGTTCAAATAGTCAGTCCATACAACAAAACTATGTGCAGTACAATCTCTAAATATCAAACTTTGCAACAAATGGGCTACAGCAGCAGAACACCACACAAGGTGACACTCCTATACACTAAAAATAAAAGCTATAATTCAAGTAGGCCTATCAAGATTTGACCACAGTTTGGAAAAACTTCCAAATGGCAGAGTCAAAATTTTATGACAGCACAGATCCAGTTCAGGAAGCCGGTTATGTAATGGTGCTCAGGATATCTGCTCGGCTCAACTTGGCCCTTCACTAACAACTGATTATTGCTGAAACACCGAAGCCAAACTCAGCATCATCTCCTTCCATTTAAGATCACAGATCAACATTGTGAATTCATCCAGTTTCCTGAAGGATAATGCACTGCCTCAAAGCTCAAATACTCTCAAGCTGATTTTTTTAACCATAACAGTGTTTTAACTGTACTCCAATGGCCTCTACAGTCTTCACAGCTCAACCTGACTGATCTTTAAGATGTGGTGTAGCAGGAGATTGGCATCATAAATACGCAGGTGTTAAGAAAGCAATTGCATGTTGCTATCCTGTCAGGATTGATCCCTACAATCTCTAGAACATTTGTGACACCTCATTGAATATGTTATTAAGAATTACTGCAGTTTAAGGCGAATAGGGTTCAAACTCAGACGAACAATGCATATTTAATAAATCAACTCGTTTAAGTGACTTAGTTAAAATAGGTAATTCTTTCATATTCTGTATCATAGCTTTACACCATACAACATTTTAATCTATATACTGTATGTGTTTGTGAAACTAAAACTGGCTTTTGTAGATTCGGATAATGTTTAATTTTGTAAACAGCTCCAGTGAAACCCCTCACTTATCATGTCATTAACTATTGATCAGTATCCAACAGTCAAATTATCTACTTCGTTGCTTCTGACTCACACAGACTGAGAGGCACATTATTTGAAGGGTGATGACTCATTGATATTGCTGCTTAAGTGCAAGCAACACTAACTACTGTGAATGTGCCACATTGATGCACTGAATACTGAATGACAAATTATCCTGTGGATAAAGTGTCACAGAGACTCACAAAGACACTGGTGGGCAGGATGTAGTCTGGCACTGTGAGATTTGACAAGTGTAAAGCTTT